GGTCCATCCAAATCACTCCCAATCCGACTAGAAAAAATTTTAATTCAAATCATTCCCTTTCATCAGTCTTCGTTCATCGTTCAGCCTAAAAGCATAGGGTAAGTACAACAAACTATTAACTAGTCAGGAGCTTATTTACACACACACACACACACACACACACAACACACACAACACATACAACACACACAACACATACAACACATACAATATACATATACACACTGCGAACACTACGCACAACCACACGACAACCACACGACAACCACACGACAACAGTACAAGTACAATACAACTCTCGCCTGGAGAGAATTTCTCAGATACGTCAATTGGTTTGGCGAATCGCATCCAATTACATTGGGAACTTGTATATTTAACGCAGTACATACAAGTCTATCCTATTTTTCTTCACCACCCCCCCATTGAAAATTTTCCCTACAATCACACCTCCTTCACACCCCTCTCACACACACATTTACCTTTGTCATTTCATTCTTTTTTTTCCCCTCCAATCCATTCATTCCTTTCCTAATTACAGATTTCTCTAAGTCTATTGAAAACGTGTGTGTACATCCACATATAGAAATACGATAATGAGCGTTCTGCGATACGTTGACCGAAATAATGCATCCCCTAGACCTAATATAATAAACACCAGTACAACGGCCCCACGGCACATAATGCCAGTGAACTTGATGTCGAATGCTCAATTTGAGACTCCAATGGTGCCATCCCAGCCTTGCGGTTATGGTGGTATGTGTTGTTGAATATAGGAACTTGTTATTATTGTATATGAACTTGGCCAGATATATATAAATATATGCATATATATATATCGAGAGAGATCCCTCGAGGAGCCAGATAGACGAATGTCAAAGACCTATCATTACAAGTTTTTGGATCGAGCACTATAATAATCAATCGAAATAATTAATTGATTGGTCAACATTGATCCCAATTCCAAGTTAACTCGTCTATCTGACTGATCCTCCTCCCTCCAAAGTACTCTGATCGATTGGCCTCTCCTCTCCCCTCGCAACATGCAAAATTTTTTTTTATGTAATTCGCCAACTAACAGACGCCCCCCCCCCATTCCCTTGCTCTCTAGTTTCAGGACTTGGATACTTGCCATATACATATTACCATCCCCAGCTGTCTACACATCAACCCCTCCATCCATCCCCACAGCAAATTTCGCAAAGTCCGCGATACGATTTGGATCTTACCTTGGCTAATCTTCATTCAGGATATGTACAACAGACTCGTCCCTCCCCACAAAACGTGCCCATCAGGCTTTTACAAATGTCATCGACAAACCAGACTTCTACAGTGTCCGACGTTACAGGCCCCGAAACCATACTCTACACTTCGGAGCATGTCCCTGTGATCACTTACAATCAGGAGTCGGAAACATCTCCGGATGTTTTGGTTGATATCTGGTTAGGAGCACCCGAGGAAGACGATGCAAAAGCGAACGCAGGATTCGAGAGCGATGCGTCATCGGAATCAGAACTAATGACTCCTGAATATGGCTCGCCACCGCCAACACCTACAGATTTCCTTGGTGAACCCGAAGAATTATTCAGTCTTGGTCTCCCAGAAGAGTGCGAGCAGAAAAAACCCATCACAAAAAAGTCGAAAAAGTCTATCCGATACATCCAATGCCCCGTCTCTGCCCCTTCACCTGCCCCTACGCTTCCCTCAAGTCCAAAAGAGGCGAATTCCAGCGAACAACAGTCTGTCTTGGATCATCCAGAAGCCTTGTGTGCGGTATCGGCTGGTTTGTCTGCCACGGAAGACATTTCAGATACCACTGGTGCTGAAAGACAGCTGGCGAAAACTATTCGCCTAGATAAGCTGACAATCAGAACCGACATTGAGACTCCCGTAACCCCGCTGACAACACCCGACCTTGTAAATGAGTTTGGTCGAAAACGTCGCTCTTTGGATTTATCTGACGACGAGAATTCAACAGAATCCGAGACCAAACGCCGTTGCGCAAGACCAACAAACGGTATGACTGCGCAAGACAACAAACGTGTTCGCGAACAAGACAATGATGAAACCGCATCTGTTTCCAAGCGAAGAAAGGACGAAGTAGATGATAGTACGTCCGAGACCGCCTCGGAAGATAGTAGCGATTCCGAATATCGACCAAATAGCAACAACGGTGGTCGCAAAACATTCAATAGTCGCAAGATCGGTTCCTTGTCACAGAGAAGTCGTGGAACGCTTGGGAAGAAAAAAGCAAGTAAAGGCAAAACCGCAAAGGGAAATACTGGAGCAACTGTAAAGAGTCGTCAATCAGGCAAGCCTACAAGTCCAAAGAAATCGAGCAAACCTACTACGCCTACGCCGATGGTTGAAAGTCCTGCGCCAAGTGAAACTCTTACTCCAACTAATCCCATCGATGAATGGGAAGGCGTTCCACTCGCTGACCCTCGTCCGACGCAAACTCCAACGATTTTCCAACAGTTGACTCAAAGTGGAATCGATTGGTGTCGCTACTGTGGCACCACCGAGGGTGTTAATTGGAGACCGGGTCCATGGGGAAAGAGGACTCTTTGCAAGTAAGTTTAAAAGAATGGTGGGCGAAAATCAAAAAAAAAAAAAAGGTCAAGCATTTATTAAAAAATTTTATTTTTTTTTGCATTATAGTAAACACGGTTGTGATTATAAAGGATATGGGTTTGCTTGCAAGTTGCCTCGTCTCGACTTGACAGCGTTCATGAATGAAACTGTTGAGGATAGAGACCGTCCAGTCTTACAGCTTTGTAAGTTTGTCGTTTTTAGTAACACATGTCGTTGTTTGTTGTTGACAGGCACGAATAACTTACACACCATGGAATTTTTATAGACTGTACCGTTTGTCACAAGCAAGAATCGTATTTCGGTAACGTCCTCGTTCGTTGCGAAGGGTGCCCTCATGCCTATCATCAATCATGTTACCCGAATGGCATCAGTGATGATGTTGTTAATGGGACTCAGGCATGGTATTGCGAACGAGCATGCCATGATAACTTGAGACGAAAGAAAATTGGTGCGTGTATATTTAGTGATCAGGTTGTCATACTCGTTGTTTCTCCACGTCCCAAGATGTTTACAAAAGTTTTGTCTCTTGTAGTTGTTGAACTGCCACGCAAGCGCCTTCCATTGATGTCAACTCCGAAACCACAAACTTTAGCTTCGAATGCAGAGAATAACCAAAACTTTAACAACAATAATGCAAACACCACTACGACAGCATCAGGAGTTGTAGCACGTCCTCGCTCATCACGCAACTCGAGCAGAACCTAAGCGTCAAGACATTCTCTGAACGTTTCGATTATTGCGCGTGGGCGCTGACAACTTTTTATTGTTACTATCGGCATATTATTAGTGATGGCAACCCTTGGAGGTTTTTATTCGAGTATCAAAGTTGGTCCTTGGTTTTTTTGTTGATTGGCATTTATTCAGTCGGGGTCAAAATAAGAACATTTGGAATCATTTATTTGGGGATAGCCACCATCGCCCCCTCCCTTAATTGGATCGTTTACTTGTCTCTTACAGAAAGTAAGCATGCATATCTGTTTGAGAACATTTTGGTTTTCCGCAAGCTCGGTGAACAAAATTATTTGTAAATAACTCGGACGAATGTTTGAACACTCGTCACCTTAGTGATTTCATTAGAAGAAAAAAGAAAAAGGGACTTTTTTTTCTTTCGTGGAATTGGTTATCTTAATATTTGGCTTTTTTCTTTTTTTTTCTTTTTTTTTTAATCGGTTGCTTTGATGGGGTTTTTACAACAATCCATCAGATGAGCTTTCAAAACGTGTATTATTTCTCGTGATTATCACCAACATTCGATTGTTTGGCTGTGTATAGTTTTCATTTAGACAAAAGGACATTAATAGTTTACTTACTATCGATTACAGTTGTTTTAGTATTAGATTAGACATATTCTGTCGTATTAAAGAATAGGCTATTACTGAGGCGACGGTTGGTATTGAATACCATTGGGGTTATATTATAAGGCGAATATATATTAGATTACTAGTTTTCTTTATACTCAAGTGTCGAACACTTTTATTCCTTTGTATTAGTAATATTTATTCTTATTATTATTCCTACATTCATTGGAACTGTATAGTGGGATGTGCAAATTATATTCAAACCTTTCTAAACTTATTTAAAACTTAATTACTTTTCGACAATTTTTTTTCTCCACCCTATTCTAAAGGTTTTCTTCCCTTCCTTTCATTTCTACGCACAATCTATATAGATTTCTTCACGATCCTTTTACCATCTTTACTTTTTGCTTAAGAAATTTTTTTACTATACCGTTTTCGATAAACTCCTTCTAACATCCACTCTACGGTTTCTATAGTTTGTTATTTTGTATCAAAAGAAAAAGAAAAAAAAAAGAAAAGAACATTAAAGATTTCTCCTCTTTTTTGTATTTTAATTATAATTAATAGTATTTTGATATAATTGTTTTAATACGGGGTACAATTGTGTTGTGGTAATTTGATGAATTTGCCAATTTCGTCAGTATGTTCTGTTGTTAAATATTCTGAGAATATTGTTTCAACTTTAGAAGAGTCAAATAAACACTTTGCCATTACGGTAATATCCCTGATTTTGGTGTGGTGTTTGGTGACAAAGTATAGAGAATGATTATCAAAAGACGAGTGTCTATTATATCCGAGGTTAGAGTAATAGTAAGAGAGGGGTAACCGTTGTCGGCACAATGTTTTGCGGATGGTCAAAGATCAGAGGATAATCGTAACCGCTTGATTAAAAGTAATGCCGATTGTTCTGTTTACTGTTCCCAACGCTAAATTTTATTACAATAAAACGATTGATATAAGATTACACTATTCCATTACAGTTTTTTCAAATAAAAATACAACAACTAATTTTCATATGCAGTTTTTTTTGTTTCTATTAGATAATAATATATAATACAGTAAGATTATTGATATGAAATGTCCGTACAAGTGTAATGATTGCTACAATCATCATTCCATATTCCATATTCCAATTTTGAGATTTAATCCGTACAAGACATTGCAACGGAATAACATGTTTATCATAATCGCCAGAATGTGGTGACATCCTTTATCTTGTGATTTCTCGGGGGAGGTGAGTTGTTGTTGTTGTTGTTGTTGTTGCTGTTATTGTTATTGTTATTATTATTGTTGTTGTTGTTGTTGTTGTTGTTGTTGTTGTTGTTGTTGTTGTTGTCATTATTTCCACTCTCGTCAGTCGGGGAAGAAGAATATGTTGATATTTCATCGTTGTTAATACTGCTGCTTGATCTCACGTGTGCTACCGGTGGTGGAGTTAATGAGGAATCGTCCGCAAGATTAGACGCGGACGCATTACTAACATTTATTGGATCATCATTTTGTGTGTTGGTAACTGTCGAATTTTGATCAGATGTCGAACAATCATTAACTGAATTGGTTGCAGGTTCTGCGGTACTCTCCGAACAATCGTGCTTGCATGTTGGACAGACGGTTGATGTCTGTAATAGCCATGGATCTGCAGACGAAGATCAATAACGAATATATCAAATTGCTGCACGCATATATCACCGATCATCATATTCAAAGCGTGTGATTTTTGTCAAAACGTACCAATGCACTGAACGTGATATATATGTCCGCAAGGCAATTCTCGTATCATGTCCTTCCCCTCAAAGTCTTCGAGACAAATAACGCATGTTTGATTCTGCAAAGACTCATCGGCCAAGGATTTTTCGTTAAACGGACACGTCTTCAGTTTGGCTAAAGTATTCTCGTCAATCCCACTATTAGGATGAGACAAGATTTGTACCAGTGGAAGTGGTATTACTCCGTGGGGGCTCCTATGACGATCTCTGTTCCTGCGCATGCGGAAACACAAATACATCGTTGCAATGGCAAACACAAACTTTGGATAAAAAAACCACGGATTAGAATTATTAATTGTGGCATGAAAAACAATGGTTTACAAAAGATGGAACTCAAAGGGGTCATCTAATCTAATTACTTTTCAATCTCTTGAATACGCTTACCAGCACGAAAAACAAGACTGATGCATGTCTTTTCTGATCCATTGATGACGTCGATGACGTCGATGACGTTGAGGATAAACCTGCATTTGTCATTTCTATGTATACTACATTTGTTGCAGTTGTCTTAGCCAGATCGTTCAGTAAATCCATTCCTTCCGAGGTATCAACTTGGAAATTTAACATGATAATCAGTAAATGTTTCTGATGACAATAATTTTGTCAAATTGTTCGTTGGCTCAATCTGTCTTGCCCTCGACTCACCAAAGTAAGCCGGAATGTCAATAATAAAAGCAGGTGAATTGACATCCGAATTGAAACTGGATTTGTCATTATCATTGTCATAAATTATAGCACCCGTAAAATTTGCATCCAATGCATTCTGTATCTTGGTAGAAAAGCTGCAACCACCGCGTTGTATTAGCGCAATGTAAGTCAATCCGCTGGACATTTCTGCTGGCGACGGATTGCATGCTAGTTTATAGTCGGTAAGAATACCCTGACAGGAGTGGAAGAAAAAAAAACAGGAATTAGCAACCTGGTCTCTCTTTTGCGCGAGGTTTAAGCTGCACAAGTAATTGGAATGCTGTTCTGGGTGTATTGGCACATGTCTGTTCCCAATTACCAGACCCAATTACCAAACTCAACTACCAAACCCAATTACTAAAGCACGCATTAACTTTACCGCCTGAAAAACTTGGTTGCCCGTATTCTTAATTTGCCTGACGTGCGGTAGTGTGGTGAAAGACCCGCCATTCTGAATAGTGACGGAGGAATTCTGCGGATCTAGATTTATTGTACCAACACTTTTCAATATTCCCACTTGATTGTCCGTTAATGCTGGGTGATGTGAATTCGCACAGAAAACACACGACATGATTAATTATTCGAAAAGAAAGAAAAATACAAATTTACAACATTGGATTTGTATATTGGGAAAATTTCTCTCACGCACTCTTAGGACTATTTATGTGGTTTCTATGGTGCTGCGTAACATTGCTATTCTCTTATAACTCGCTCCAAGTAATTTTTGTTTACAACGCGTGACTAGATAGAAACACCTGATACGAACAAGTTGTGGAGATTCTATGTTAACAAGACATGACGTAATCATGTGTCACGAAAATTTGGCCAAAGAAGAAACCGAGAGACTATGACGGTGTAACGTAACAACGACTCTTACTTTTTTTTTCCCAATCTCCCGAGAAACTTGATATGCTCGACCAAACAAAGCTGTGCGTTAGTCGGGAAACTCGAATCAATTACCAACTTTAGAATAAAAACCTCGAGAAATGACAAAGGGTCTTTTGATTGACCACAGAGTGACCATTTATAGAGTTGGTGATATCTGCGAGTGTCAATAGACACTATTGTTCTTTTTTATGTATAGTGAATTCTGAAACAATGTCAGTCTTGTGGCGAGAGTGCCAAAAGTGACACAAATTTATATTGCCCATTGCAAATAATAATCAGTATTATTATTATATTGCCCGTGCGATTTAGCCTCTGTGACCCCACATGGGTTATGACTGAGGCTATGCTCTCTAAATTCTTTCTATTAAAAAATTTTTTTTGCGAGATTATGTTTCGTGACGAGATGAGATGGCCGATGTGTTGACTGTAAATACTCATCAATCATGAGAATGCAAGGGCATATTAAGATGCATAACCAACTGACTAACTACCAACCCATCTAACCACACCAACCAACCAACCATCTGTCTTCCGTAACTCTCTTCCAACCGAGAAATTCTCCAAACATGCCCATCAACTACTTTACTTACACCTTCCTCCCTCCCCCCCCCCCCTTCTTCTCTCTTGTAGCTTTACATTCAGGGGACCGCGCAGAAATAATTGACTGGGAATTTGACGTCGAGCAAATCACAAGCTAATATGTGGGGTTTTTTTTCACTTGTGATACAGAGCAGTTGACAATAGGGAACTTGCTTATCGATCGTTACGTAGCCCGCAAACTTTTTCCCCTTATTGTGGCAGATTTTTATATAACTACGCATTGCCATTCTCCTACTTTTGAACCACCCTAGTTTATTAACCCTGCACTTGCGGGCTCTTCCAACTTGAAAATAAAAAAAAATAAACGTTTCTAGGTTCCTCTCTGAGTATATATATAAAAAAGACAAAAAAAATAAAACTTCACTACCTTTTATCTTCTTTTACGCAATACTAAATACGAGATAGTGTACTACGAATACACTCTTTTTTATCATAAGAAACAATAAGGTCATTGGTTACGCCGGGATCCCACCCAAACGGTAAACGTCATCTCCTCTTCAAAAGTGATAAACCATCGCTTGCTGTGCTCGCTTTGCTGTCTATCATGAGAATTAACGTTTTGTGCTTTTATTTATCGCGTTTGGAATGCATATTGTAGAACATATAGAATATTACTAGAAAAAGACATTTGTATTTATAAAAAAAGCCGAGTAAATTATGAGTGGTAACGATCAGCGAAACAACATCCGTGTAGTGTGCCGTTTCCGGCCGCAGAACAAGAGAGAAATTGCAGAGGGCGGTGTACCTATCATACAATTCGATGAAGACGGCGAAACATGTCGTATGCAGGTAAGTCAACACGTCTAAATATTCATGTCGTCACTTGAATATTAATTGGAAGATGCAATATACCCCCCCCCAATTCGTCCATGTATACTGAACGACAATCTAAACTATTTCTTGCAGGGTAAAGAATTTCAGGGATCATTTACATTTGACCGCATCTTTTCTCCTGAAACAAAACAAAAGGAAGTTTTCGACACCGCCATCAAACCAATTGTCGATGGTAAGATTGTTTAATATTACAGGTATTATGTTGGCGTTTCCTATTACAAGCCGTTCTCATATCGTAATCATATTTTGTTAGAGGTTTACAACGGTTATAACGGTACTGTCTTTGCCTATGGTCAAACGGGATCTGGCAAGACATTTACCATGATGGGTGCTGACATTGACAACGAGGAGCTCAAGGGTTTGATTCCCCGTATTGTCGAGCAAATTTTTCAATGCATTATAGACTCTCCCCCGACAATGGAATATACAGTGAAAGTCTCCTACATGGAAATTTATATGGAAAAAATCAGAGACTTGCTTAATCCTCAGAATGATAACCTGCCAATTCATGAAGAAAAGAATCGGGGTGTGTACGTCAAGGGTCTATTGGAAGTATACGTCAGCTCCGTCGAAGAAGTGTACGAAGTTATGAAACGCGGTGGTCAAGCACGTGTTGTCGCCTACACAAACATGAATGCTGAAAGTTCTCGATCGCATTCAATTTTTGTAATCACCATCACACAAAAGAACCTTCAGGATGGTAGTGTAAAAAGCGGTAAACTGTCGCTTGTCGACTTGGCTGGTTCCGAGAAGGTTGGCAAGACAGGTGCTTCTGGACAGACTCTAGAGGAAGCAAAGAAAATCAACAAGTCGTTGTCGGCTTTGGGTATGGTCATTAACGCCTTGACCGATGGAAAATCCACCCATATTCCGTATCGTGACAGTAAACTTACAAGAATTCTGCAAGAATCGCTTGGTGGTAACTCACGAACAACTTTGATTATCAATTCCTCACCTTCCTCGTTTAACGAAGCTGAAAGTTTGAGTACTCTGCGCTTCGGTATGAGGCAAGTATACCTTTCGAGTTACTTTCCCAAAACTTTTCCATCTCCGACTTTTAATAACAATTTTTTGCTTTGCATTGCAGAGCCAAGACCATCAAGAACAAGGCCAGAGTCAACGCAGAGCTCAGTCCAGCAGAGCTCAAAGCATTACTCAAGAAAGCCAAGAGCGAAGCCGTCACCTTCCAACAATATATTGCGGCGCTTGAAGACGAAATTGGTGTATGGCGCAAAGGTGGAACTGTACCGAAAGAAAAATGGGTGTCAATGGACAAGGTTTCGTCTGGCGCTGTTTCCGCACCACCAAACGGAACCAAAAACCCTGCTGTAGAAGCTGCCAAGAGAGAATCAGAGATAGCAGAATCTCGTCCCAGCACCCCGTCGCTTGTGCTTGACAAGGATGAACGTGAAGAATTCCTTAAACGTGAAAATGAGCTCCAAGATCAAATTGCAGAGAAGGAAGCTGAGCTGGAGAAGAAGGAGAAACTGCTCGTTGAAGCGAGAGACGAATTACAAGCACTCAAGGAACAAGAATCAGTAATTACAAATCTTAAACTGCAATTGGAGAAGGTTACTTATGAGAACAAGGACAGTGCTATCACATTAGACAGTCTTCGTGAGAGCCATCAAGAGACTTTGAATGAGCTAGAGACTCTCAAGAAACAACTGGTCGAATTGAAATTGTCTCAGAAAGAGGGTGATAAAGAACAAAAGAAGCAAGAAAAGATGGCCCAGATGCTTGCAGAACTCGACCCAAGTGGAGCTATTTCTCAGAAGGAAAAACAGATTCGCGACACATTGAAGGAGTTCGGTTCTCTCGATAACGATGGCAAGGCAACATTAACGGTAGAGGAACTTGCTGCTATCCGTCGCAGATTGACCGAGTCAGAAGTAATTATTGCTCAACACGAACAAACTATTGCCGAGTTGAATCATGAAAACGAACATCTTACAAGGAAGCGTGACGAGGCTGACATTAGACTACAGACATTAGAACTTGAATATGAAGAGTTGCTCGGTAACGTTCATTGTCAATGTTTTATAGTAGTTTGATTTTTGTTTATGATAGCATGAGCTTTAACTTATTATTTTTCATGCAGATCGCACGATCGCTGAAGAAGAAGCCAATAGCTCTATTGATATCGGCGAGACAATACAAGAACTTAGGAGTAAATTGGAAGCCCAATACGCAGCCAAGAAGGACGTTCAACAGAAAGAGATCGACGAGTTACGACAAGAACTTGAGAGGAAGAATGAAGAACTCCACAAAATCAGCAGGTAACGCATACATAATATACCAATAAGCCTTTTTTCCTTGGTTAAAACTGCTTTTAACATATAAATTCATTACAGCTCTCTTGCGGAACTTAAACGCGAGAAGGAAGATCTGCAGGTGAATACATTTTCGTCTATAAACTCGGATATGCATACCAGAGTCACTAAACATTAAATCTATATATTATTCTAGAATGCCCTCACTGAAAAAGAACTCAAAGCGGACGCTCACAAAGATGTCGCAGATAAAGAAAAGGATATGGAGCGTATTCGCAAGACCATGGCACAACAATTGGCTGACTTTGATGTTATGAAGAAGGCCTTGATGCGTGACCTGCAGAACCGATGTGAGAAAGTTGTCGAACTTGAGATCTCTCTCGATGAGACACGCGAGCAATACCAGAACGTGTTACGCAATACTAATAATAAGACTCAGCAAAGAAAGATGGTCTTTTTGGAGAGAAATTTGGAACAGCTTACAAACGTGCAGAAACAGGTTAGTCATTAAATAAACCACCAACAGACTGTTTATGGTCCCTTGATGACGATATTTATTCCAAATCGGCTCTAAATTGTAGCTTGTCGAGCAAAACTCGTCGCTCAAGAAAGAAGTAGCAATTGCCGAGCGCAAATTGCTTGCACGAAACGAGCGTATCCAGGCATTGGAGGCTTTACTTCAAGATGCACAAGAGAAACTGACCACACAAAACCAAAAGTATGTGACTTGACTCTGTTATTTAAGCTTGCTTTTTTACCGAATTATGCTAACATATTTCGATTATTAGATTCGAAGCTCAATTACAAGCAGTTAGAGAACGATTGGAACAAGCACGAAGTAAGATGTCCTCTGTTTAAACTGATGTTTCTTTTCCTGTAATAAAGTTTGATACTTACTCGCTAATCTATTTTCTAGCTGCAAAAACAGTCACTCCGTTCTTTGGTCGTATTGCAAAACCAATTCGAGGAGGCGCCCGTCCCGAGTATGTAAACAGTTAATATTAAATTCTTCATATTGTCCCGGAATCTTATCGTTTACACATTTCGATCGTAGGAATAGGACTGCCACCTTACCACCAACTCCAAGTAAGTGAGCGCAAACATTATGGTGATCGAACACTTAGCGCGTTGGTGTTTGATAGACATAAATCTTGGGATGTAGGTGTCTTATTTTGTTTTGTTTTCTCGACAATTCAGACACATGGAACAACATTTAGAGGTTATCCTTCTCTCATTTCACTCATTTCTGCATAAATTATCCGAAACCTATTTAACACGGATATCTTTAGACTTTTTTCTTTTCTTTTTGGATCACGGATGTTTATTTTTCTCTTTCGTTGATATATACTCGTGTTTTTTTTATACAAATTTGATGATTTAAACCCAAACCCTTAGGAATATTTTGCCATTCTTAAATTATGTCATTTACTGTAAGTTTTATTTTGATCCATACCCTTCCCCTTTTTACTAATTCACTTTGTCTAGCTGTAAAGTTTTGGAACCAACGTTGTTGAAACTTCTCCACTTTAAGGGAAATCATGTCGTAATGCCTATTCTAAAAAAATGAAATTCTCGGAATTACTCTTAAATAATTCTTCAACCAATATTCAATAGCATGGATATGTGGTGGTTTAAGTGTTTGATTTGTCCTTGTCTATTTCCTATTTTCATTTGGTGATATATTTGTTATATTGTGATGGAATGATATTTGATAGTAGTACCGTTAGCTAAAATGGTGGTATCCGCTGCTATCAACTGACTAGTCTATAATGCAGGGAAAGTTTTCACATGTTAAGAGCATTGAACTTTGAAGTTGAATTACGACAGAATCAATCTTATTCAAGCAGTGATACGCATATCATTATTACTACTGTTTTGTTTTGGGCAAATCTGAACGAAGCATTTTCTGGAAAGAAAAAAATTTTTTGACATGGGAGAACCTTTGCGACGTAAAATTGCAACTTCATCTTTGCAAAACGGGTGGGGGTGATTTGATGGAACTCGATCGTTACGGAAACACTATTTCTTTTTGCGCAAAACAACACTATCTCTTTTGAGGGGAAAGATTTTCGCCCTTAAAGTTCGATTCAGGGGTTCAAAGTAACAAAGCAACATCTATCAGTACGATCATGCATAATTCACATGATTAGTAAACCCTGTGGCTTTGGTGACCACACGCGGTTCATACTTGAAATTTGAACAGTCTTTTGTCGGTTGGGACTACATCATATTCTCATCTTTTCACGGCCACTCGCTCCTCGTTGGGTATTTGTTGAGTCTGTATCAAACTTCTTTAATATATTAATTTATGAAAGAAAAAAAAACGAGGATTTATATACGGTAAAGTTCTACTGAAAAACGGGGGGTGAAATACTAATATTAGTAACAGCTTGTATTCCGAAACTGGAGTAAGAAATAACCTGCAGACTTACATGACATTATTAGGGGGCGTGCGGTGTGTTGGTAATCCGCCGCTTAACGCCATAAGCATATCAAAATGGTAATGCAATGAATGACAAAGACATTTTAGTCTATTGTTAATTGGCGTTTTTTTTCGCGTCTTATTGTTATTGTTAATTGTTGATTTTCTAACCTATACTAATAGGTGATACAAAGAAATTTGATCACGTGTATCAATGACAATAATAACGTTATCAATTAACAAAGAACATCGGCAACGGCAATGTCCCCAGATGGCAAATGAATTCTCCACAGATACACTCAACAGAAAGCAAGTTTCTGCTTACGGTGTTTGGCGCTACGTGCCGATAATCAGTAGCCTCGTCAGCCGCCAGTTATACCAATCATGTCAAAATTAACGACACCTGCAGAATTTGTCATAACGCTAATACTTTACCTTATGAAAACATAATTTGTTATTATCAGGCTTTTAAAATAAATTTCGTCCTAAACCGAGTTTTCGACAGAATTTGTTAATGCGCGAATAGCGATCCACATAATGAACAAACAAGACATTTCCTTTTGTTGTTAACTTGTACGTAAAATCTTATTATTATGGTACCATAAATTTTTGGCAGTCCCTCACCATGGTAGAAAACTTTTACCTGATTGGATAGTCAGAAAATGTCATACACGTATGTTCTACATGCCAGAATAGATATCGCAATCAGACAAAAATGAACTCTACACAATTTGAAGTGATTCAGTAAGCGGTGAAGTAATTCAAAAGTCAGTTAAGAAGTGTTTTTTGCAGGGATGTTAAACAGTCCAGTCCATCCGGTCCTAAATCCTGGACTACTAGTCTTCATGAGGACTGGACCAAACTGATTCTCTTATAATCATAAGACTGCAGTC